TCGCTTATGAAAAATATACTATCACGATACGATCACTGATATTTTGTTGTTGACTGGACACTTCTTTTTTAAAAGAGATAGCATGTGAGGATCTCTTAAGCAATGAAGCTCACATGTCCTTTTTATATGCTGTCAATTGAAATGCTGGAAAGTAATCACCAACTGTGAGTGATCTGTTGCCGAGGGGACAATACACCGGAGTTACATAAGCAGAGGTAAAGTACTATTTTGGGGAAAACTCCCCCAGGAAGATTTTTTTTAAATATTGAAGTTAAAAGCATCAATCTGATGCACTTTGAGAGCAACATTAAGAGATCTATGGATACATTTCTCAACACCCATATGTAAAAAAAAATCAAAGAATCAGAATCAGAAAGGGGTTTAATATTTTAAAACACTTGATTTTCAGGTCACTTTCTGCTTCCTTCCTCACTTGCCGTTTCCCCTCATCACTTGCTTCCGTCATCACTTGCTTCCTTCATCACTTTCTGCTTCCTTCCTCACTTGCCGTTTCCCCTCATCACTTTCTTCTGTCATCACTTGCTTCCTTCATCACTTTCTGCTTCCTTCCTCACTTGCCGTTTCCCCTCATCACTTTCTTCCGTCATCACTTGCTTCCTTCATCACTTTCTGCTTCCTTCCTCACTTGCCGTTTCCCCTCATCACTTGCTTCCTTCATCACATTACCTTTAATTTGCTTCGTTTTTCTCCCCATCATCACTCGCTGTCTTCAGACTCTTTATTGTTTTGTAGGTGGAAGTGTTAGGCTGAATCGCCTTGGTTTGACATTCGCAAATTGGTCGATGACCTCTCCATGGGCCACATTAGCCAAGACCTCCTTCTCAATGGAAATGATGGCCAAATGACTAAGCCTCACCTGGCCCATTGTACTTCTCAGCCAAGTGTGTAGCCTTCGCAGGGCACTGAAGGACCTTTCACAACTGCAGCTGGTGACTGGGATTGTCAAAGCAGCTTGGAAGATGGCCTTAAGAGAGGGGAACATATCCTCATCCAAAAGGGAAAATACACTTTGGATACTTGGCATTTCTTTCTCTATCCTGGCAAGGTATTGTCTTGCAACAACAACCTCTTCAGTTTGTAAGTGGATGCTGTAATGTTGTGCAAGATTTTTGAGTGCCTCTTCATTCAGGAAATTCTCAGAAGCAGGGTGACATGCCGATTAATATTTTTTCCCCAACTCCAGAAAACCTGTTTTGAAGCTCCTCCAGCATTCTGTCGAGAACTGGAAAGAAGATTCTCCCTCTCAAGTCATCTCCTGTTGTCAGGTCTGACCTTGCTCCACATGATGCCTCAACTACAAAGTCTTCCATGTTTCTTCGCTTCTTCCTCTGTGTCACAGTTTCGGGAATATCCAGATCATTGCACAGGGCCTTGGTCTTGTCATAGACCTCATGTGCTTTCTCGTCACTTCGGTAACTTTTCAGTGTGTTCTCAACTGCTGTTTTGTAATTTACTGCCTGCACCAAGTCAATTGTTTCTTTCTGCAGGTATGTGTGCAGGCCCTGAGTGGTTGAGAGCAGTGTCTGGAACAGGACAAGCATGTATATGGTACTGAATTTGCAAAGCTTGCTTTCCAGTCCCTTTGCCAGAGGGGCTGGAAGGCTCCCTAAAGTCTGGATCAAAGCAGGGAGGTTTTTTAGGATTGCATTCACCGACTCAATTTGACATGCCCAGCGAGTGTGTGACAGCGAACAAGTTGTTTGTCCCCTACCTCTAGCTGTTTCTGAAATGTTTCCAATCTCTGATGGTGGACAAGAGATGTGGAGAAGAAAGAGTAGAGACACTCCAGGAGATCAAAGAAGTCACGTGCCTCTGGGATGGCTTTGCAAGTGGCGCAAAGGACAAGATTGAGTTCATGGGCATAGCAGTGAACATAAAGTGCTTCTGGATGCTTCTCTCTAAACCGAGCTTGTACACCTCTCACTTTTCCACTCATAACAGCAGCACCATCATAACTCTGGGCAACACATTTAAGATGTCCTATTCCATGTTTGTCAAGTAGCTGCTCTATTGTGTCAGTGATGGTTTTAGCATCAAATGCTGCAAGCTGAGAAAGTCCAAGGAACCTTTCTTTCACTGAGCCTTGTGGACTTACATATCGCACACACAATGCAAGCTGCTCTGTGTGATTATCTCTTGCTTCATCCACCATTACCGAGTACATTTTTGCCTCTTTGATCTCAGATATTATCCTTGCCATTATAACGTTGGCGGTGCTTTCAATCATCTCATTCTGTGATGAGGGTGAGAGGTAGGTCACACATGAAGGTGGCTTATAGGTTTGTAGAAAAGGATCAAAGTTTTCAAGAAGCTTCATGAATTCCATAAAATTACCCTTGTTATCACTCTCTGCTGCTTCGTTGTGCCCTCTGAAAGCAATCCCTTGCTTCCCAAGAAAGGCTGTCACTGCTGCTATGCGTTTCAGATACTCCCTACGTTCCTGAATCTCACTGACATTTGCAGCATGTAGCTGCTGTGTGATGTCCCTGTGGACCTGGGTGGCTTTAAAGCTCTTCCAGAGAATAATTGAGGCCTTGTGTACGTTTGACTTTTCATGTTCTCGAAAAGAATCCAATGAACGCTTCCAGTTTGTGTATCCTGAGGTGGTGAGGGTGTCCCTTTGATCCCTTGACTGCTTTGGTTTGCCATATATTCTACAACTAAAGCAGAATGCTGCATTGGCAGTTGTAGAATATTCAAGCCATTTAAAAGTATCAAACCAACTTGGTTGAAATGATCTTTTTTGCTGGCCAAACATGCCGGATGGAAAGCAGTGATGTCTCACTTGCCTTGGCCCTGTATCTGCAGTCCCTAAATCAGTTCCCCAGTTACCCATTGACTCTTGTCTGTTCTGGTGTTCCTGTTCATTGTTGTTCTTGTCTGTTGTATCTCCTTCTTGTGTGTCCCTTTCTCCTGTTCTCATTTCTTCATCCTCTACTCTGTTTGGCTCATCTGTGATGACTGTGTAGGTAAACACAAACAAGTATGTATCAGTTTCCAGCTCTGTCAAATAAATGAATTTCAAGATACACAAATGTGTCTTCATTAAAATGAGTGTCACCACACTGTCACAAAATGTAATACTAACCAATTGAAAATAGTTAAATTTACATTGGAAACCTCTTGTAGATATCACTAAGAGTAGTTATCTGCCAATAGGACAGAATCATTCCTATACAAATGTAGTTTGAGTAATTCACATCCATATATTTCAGTGCTACATTGATGCTTAGCTAAGCTAACTATGAACCACTTTAACTGACAGGACTCAGGAATCAGGATCAACTGTACAACTGTAAAGTAGCTTATAGCTTCATGTCGAACACAGACAATAAGTCAACATTTCCCAGAGAGCTTTCTTTGAAATCACCAGGTAACGCTAAAAAACACAACATTTAGATTGTATGACAAAGTGTTTATTTAATCTGGCTAGCTAAAGCTACTTGCTAACGGTTTAGCTTACCCGCGCGATTCAAAGTAACGTCAACGTAGCTGTATTTTATGCTTTGCTTACATGTTCGCATAACTTGTAAGTTTACTGACATGTACATACCTTGTTCACCTGGCTCAGGTGGTGGCTCTGGGGTTGTTGTGTGAGCCACCACTTGAGAATTGCCGTCTTTTTTATTAAAAAAACTTCTAATGTCCATCTTCAGAATCTCCGCGTCCGGGGCTGACAGTTTAAAGCAGGGGTGCCCAACCTTTTTTGAACCGAGAGCTACTTTTAAAGTTGCCAGTCTGCCGAGATCTACCAGTCCAAATAGAGAGGCATAGCCATTACTGACAGCCTACTACCAGGTAAATACACACTTCTACTTGTATAAAACTGACCTTTGTACGATTAATACTTCATAAAATACTGCAGATGCTTTATCTTACCTCTTCCTAATCTACATACAAGTATTTAACTGAAGTTACACAACAATGTTGTTGATACAGAGTTTGAGTTTATTCACACGACACGTCACATACTACAGTGGGTAATGTTTTCAAGAAACATTGAACAGTGCTGCCACATATAACACAGGGGAAAAGAAAATACTCTGAACCCTTTCTTTGCCATTAAAATTAGGCTTACTAATAAGACAACTCAGATCTGAAGCTACACAGGAATCTGCTGCCAAAGTGCAATAAAAAAGACAAAATTAATAGAATCAAACCCTTTTTTTGTTGCATTTTAGTAGATTATAAAAATAAATGCCTTTAAAATAGGATGCAAGCAACATGAATTGATAATAGACTATAATCAATTTAAGTTTGCATTCTTATACCATTTTGTACAATAATTATAATGAATAAGTTCAAACAAACTAAAACTTACAGCTGATTAATAACGGTATCTAACTTGAGTTTTTATTATATCAAAAACCTGTTGAAATGCTACTGTTATTTTTACTGTCCCACAAAAGCGCGTCGACAGCCTCCAGGAAAGCTTCTTTCACAACTTCGCCGTCTTTGAAAGACTTCATGTGTTTCTCAAGAACGTGACTGACACGATAAGATGCTCTGGTAGCAGCATTGCTCTTGTTGTTGGGCCTGGTGAAAATGGACTGCTGTGCATTTAGCTGTCCTTTCAGACCCCTCCCCTTTTGGAGCGTAGGGCAGAATAGACCTATCGCTAAGCCACGCCCCCTTTGAAAACTCGGACAAACAAAGCCGACCGTGAATGACTCTTGACAATGGCCGCGGGGGGAGTTCAAGTTAAAATAACATTAAAATAGAAGCAAGAGCTAATAAAAGCAACAGCAGATGAAAGTTAACAGTTAAAAGCAAGAGTAAAAAGGTAGCCATGTATTTCTTTATATAAAATATCTAATCTTGTTGCCTGTCGTGTGTAGTGGTGACTGTTGTGTAACCATTGAAATGATAATATGATGTTGAATGTTAGCAGTGGTGGTCACTACATTAAATCTATAACTATAACTGTCCTTGTTGGTCATCATTTTCACTGTTATGCACCTGGCTGACTGTAGCGTTACCTTCTTTTGGGTGAGGGTCTGTGTCTTTTCGGAGCAGCACACACGAGAGCCCGGATGGGATCTGATATTCCAGAGTTGGCTTCCCATCTCTGAAGTGCTTTGAGGTGAAAAGACAGTTAGCAAAAGTTAGCTAAAAACACCAGCTAACTAGCGAGGACGAAAAGTCAGACAGCAAACGTTGATGTTGATAACACTGTAGCTAGTTAGCTGGCTAACAAGTTGGCAGCTAACGTGGATATACGCTAGCTAGTTGGCAGTCAAAGTCAATCGTTAGCAAACTAATAGTTTGGTCTACGTTTCTAATACATACCGTCAAATATGATGTCTTTATGAATTGACCTTACCTTTGAGCAAACATAAGTGTCCTTGATAATTGTCTTCACATTCAGTTGTGATGTGGTTGACGACACAGCATAATCCACCGCTTGCATTTCTCGAGTTTTCTTTTGGGCTTCGGAAAAGGTACGAAATATACTCCTCCATCCAGTCTTTCAGGGTACCTGGTGTCCAAAATTACAGGTACCCCACGCACAGCGTTTCACCATCAGATATTAGCTAGATAATAAACATAGAAACTGAACTCTTCACAGTGGTTTCGATCACAGACGTCTGGTTTTGGTTTGGCTTTTCTGGTGATGTCCGAGTTTTCTGTCAGGAGGGATTTTCGCTGTGATATGATTGGACAAATTCTATTTGGGGCGTGGTTTAGCGATAGGTCTATTAGGAGGGAATTCCGTCTCGTCGCGTTTGTGCACTGTTTTGAAATGCCGCTCCTAAATTACCCTTCTTCGATAAAGCCACGCTCGCATTGCAGATGAGAGACAGATGGACTTTGAATTGGAATAGATACAAAAATAATCATCCTGCCACTCGGAGTGAAAATGATATATTTTGGGGTTTTTTGCTTCTGCCATAATTGCGGTCTTGTGTGTGTGCGGACTGTCACTCCTGTTGACACGGACAATGTCAGCGAACTAGTGCACTGCCCACCAGCCACGCCCCCACACATGAGGTCACGCTGGCCAATCACAAAGCTTTGATGCGTTCAAGTGCATTGTTCTGGCACAGGAAGATTATGTTATAGGACGTTAACGATAAAACTGAATATTGTTGTTCTATTTTTAGACACATCTCGCGATCGACGGGGAATCTCCCCGCGATCGACCGGTCGATCGCGATCGACTGGTTGGGCACCCCTGGTTTAAAGTGTAAACATTGTCACAGAGGAGAGGTACGTACCTGTCAGCCAATAAAACACGTTTATTTCCATGCAACTCTCTGATTGGTCTGGTGGCGTCGTCTTGCCTCTGTGTTGCATTCACTGAACATGGGAAATTACATTTCTGCCGTCCGTCCTATAGGTAAAGTAGGTTAATGTATTATATTATTGAGGGAGAATTTGTCCGGGGCTAAAGAAAAAACATCCGGGGCTAAAGCCCCGGATGCCTACCCCAGGCGACGCCCATGGTCTGCAGAGAGAATTTCGCCGCGATCCCAACTGTCTGTTATCAGCCTGCAGCCAGGGAGGAGAAATCAGCTGAGCTGCCTGCAGCACTGAGTGTGTGAGGAAGTCCATGGATTGGTCAATTTGGACCAATCAGCGGGGGCTTAACGTAACGGCTCCAAGGACGTAACGTAACGGCTCCACGGATTGGTCCATTTCGTTCCGGGGACGACATGACATCATGATGTACCCGGAAGAATCAAATGGACAGTGACGTATCTCCAACGAGGCGTTTTGGGGAGGTATTTTCTGTGTTAGAGTTTTACTCGCTACATGGTGTACTTTGAGGGTTTTGACTCGGCACACCATTTACATGCATAAAAACCTTCATAACACACAAGGAGACAGGTAATAACTGGAAAAGCATGACATGTCACCTTTAAGATTGTGGCTCTTGGATTGGTTAGATTGATCTAATGTAGGGTTAAGAGTGCAGTTGAAATGGCCGCCCATCAGTCCTAATCCTTTACAATTTTCATTGAAGAGCAGCGCCATGTCTGACATGAACATTGGTTCATCTATATTGGGAGCATAGGTATTTAAAAAGGTGATTGGGGTTCCAAAAATAGTACCAACAACCAAAACAAACCAACCATTTGGGTCCGTAACTAATTTTTCTAATTCGAATGGGCAAGTTTTGTTTATCACAATAGCTGTCCCTCTACTATGGGTTTTATATGATGAGAAATACACCTGACCTATCCAATCTCTTTTCAATTTAAGATGTTCAGTATCTGAGAGAAAGGTTTCTTGTAAGAAGACCACATCAGCGTTGTCTTTTTTAAGAAGAGATAATACTTTATTCCTTTTTATGGGGTTTCCCAAGCCTTTAATATTCCAAGAATAGATTTTCATGTTTTGCATGGTGACTGCTGCATATCTGTGGGATTATATTTAAGTTGTATATTTTGGCCCCATACACAAAAGGGATTGTCACTGCTTTTATTATTTACCATAAAAAAAAACTCAGTTTTTGAGTGACAGCCCATTACACCACAGACCATACAGTGCAACTCATGTAGCAAACTCCGGAGTCCACTCGGCCACATTTGTGTTGGTGTCTCCTGGGGAGTTTTCATGAAAATATTGGACTTATCTTATGGATTGCTGTGCATTATACTTGTGTTGTGTAGTTTATACTTTATTCCAACTTTAAATATTTGAATACCTGAACACACTACTGCTGTAAAATAATTTCCTAATTTGGGATTGATAAAGTGTCTATTTATTTATTTATTTTATAGATAAAAAAAACACATCTATGTATTTTCAAGCTAAAGGTGATACACAATATAAAGTGTATACTGTTATTTTTTCAACGATATGTTACATTTCAAAAGCATATATTGCTGTTTAAGACAAACAATTAAAGACTGCTTTCATTTAACAAATTCTACAATATAAAAGTGGCAGATTTGCTTTATTAAACAGACCAGACCTAGGCTGCATACCAACACAATTAGGAACATGTATGGAAGCTAACAAGAGACAGAAGTATTTGAATTTTATTAGACACCGAATTTATAGCATTGAAAATAATTACTTTGAAAATCATGTATCTGAATATGTTTTGCTCCGAATTTACCGATGTGAAATAAAAATGTAAAAATTCAAGTTAAAACAATTCTAATGTTCAAATTCAGATCCCAAAAATTCAAGTGAAAAGAATTTGAATGCACAATTTCGGTGTATAAAATTCGACGTCAAAAATGTCGGTGTATAAAATTCGCCATCCAAAATTGCGATGCAGCATCATCCGGGCTACTCAGACAGGATAAGCAATCGAGCCCGTATGCAATCGAGCCTGAATGCAATCAAACCTACTTCTGGCCTATCAGAGCACGGCTTTGTCAGTGATGTGATCACAACAACCTGGGAGAAAAGTGACGGAGAACAGTGGGGCTCGGGTAAGTAGTCAGTTTGTGCCCTTTATTTTACAAGCAGTGAGGGCTCGACAGCATTTGTATCTTACATTAGCTAGCTAAATTAGTGAAGTAGCCCTGTGCCTTGCTGTTAGCAAGCTCCGTAGTTATCATTAATTGAAGTGAATCACAACGTTACCGTGTCCTTTTAGATAAGTCAAGTAGACCATGCTACAGTATACAAATACTCTCTTACAGCCCTGCATTTAAACATGTTAATGTTACTTTAGTAAAAGTGTGCTAGTATAATTAGGAAAGTGTTGTTAAAGTATTTAAAGTAGACACAAGTTATACTATTATATTATATCATTTGTTTTATTATTATTACAGATGCAAGAGTTGACTTAACTGTTGTAGTTGGAGCTCATTTTTAACAATGAGCTAACTAATGATTACTTTCATAATGGTTTAATGTGCTGACATGTGCTTCTACATTAATAGATGTACTTCTCGGAGACTTCAACCTCTAGACAAGGAAGATAGACAAACTAACATCTCTGTTAACCGCCTTTGCTTTCTCACTGTCTCCGTCCCCACCAACTCATAAAGCTGGCAATGTCCTTGATCTCATATTCTCAAGGAACTGTACTACTTCTAACCTCTCTGTAAACCCACTCCACACATCCGATCACTTCTTCATTTCATTCTCTCTACCCCTTTCCAAACATAACAAACTAATCTCTTCTCATCCTGCACCTGTCCGCCGTAACCTTCGTTCCCTCTCCCCCTCTACCTTTGCCTCATCGGTGCTCTCAGCCCTCCCTTCCTCGGACTCATTCCAACTACTACCTCCAAACTCTGCTACAGAAACTCTCCTCTCTACTCTCTCATCCTCTCTGGACTCTCTCTGTCCTCTCACATCTCGGCAGGCTCGTCAGTCCCCTCCTGCTCCCTGGCTAAATGATGCACTGCGTGCTAATAGAACCGTCCTTCGGGCAGCAGAGCGGAAATGGTGGAAATCCAAACGCCGTGACGACCTCCTACCCTATCAGGCTCTCCTCTCCTCTTTCTCTGCTTCGATCTCTCAGGCAAAAAGCACTTTCTTTCAAGATAAGATCCAATCTTCCTATTCCAATCCCAAAAAACTATTTTCCATCTTCTCCTCCCTCCTGGACCCCCCAAAGCCCCTTCCCCCTCCTCCCTTCTGTCAAGCAACTTTGTTAACCACTTTGAAAAAAAGGTTGATGATATTCGCTCTTCTTTTTCTGACTCACCTCAACTCACCGCTGGGTCACCAGACCCTCCTTTCACCCACACACTGACCTCCTTTTCCCCTCTCTCCAAGTGAGGTTCTTACCCTCATTACCTCTGCACGCCCTACCACCTGTCCTCTGGATCCTATCCCTTCAAACCTCCTTCAGACTATCGCTCCTGATATTCTACCGTTTCTCACCCATTTCATCAACACTTCTCTAACTTCTGGTCACTTTCCAAACAGTCTCAAGGAGGCAAGAGTAAACCCTCTCCTAAAGAAACCCACTCTCAACCCATCTGATGTTATAAACTACAAGCCTGTCTCTCTGTCTTTAAACAACTCTCCTGCTATCTCCATCAGAACAACCTTCTGGATCCGCACCAGTCTGGTTTCAAGGCAGGTCACTCCACAGAAACTGCCCTCCTTGCTGTCACTGAGGAACTGCACACTGCTAAAGCAGCCTCCCTCTCCTCTGTCATCATCCTTTTGGACCTGTCTGCTGCATTCGACACGGTGAATCATCAGATCCTCCTTCGCACTCTCCAAGAACTTGGAGTTGCAGGCTCTGCACTTTCCCTCCTCACCTCATACCTCAAAGAACGCACCTACAGGGTTACTTGGAGAAGGTCCGAGTCCGACCCTTGTCAATTAACTACAGAGGTCCCTCAGGGCTCTGTTCTTGGTCCCCTCCTCTTCTCCTTGTACACAAACTCGCTCGGATCAGTCATTAGCCCGCATGGTTTTTCATACCACTGCTACGCTGACGACACCCAATTAATTCTGTCCTTTCCCCGCTCAGAGACCCAGGTCGTCGCACGCATCTCTGCTTGTCTAGCTGACATCTCTCAGTGGATGTCTGATCATCACCTCAAGCTCAACCTTGACAAGACTGAACTGCTTTTCCTTCCGGGAAAAGATTGTCCCACTCTTGACCTAACAATCAACATTGGCACCTCTGTTGTTCCCCCGACTCAGACTGCAAGGAATCTGGGTGTGACCCTAGA